AAAAAAAAAAAAAGGAAAGGGAGGGAGGGAGGGAAGGAAGGAAGGAAGGGAAAGAAAAGAAGGAAAAGAAAGAAAGAAATAGCAACAGGGAACCCAAAATAATCAACAAAGTTGAACTTTCCTTAGACGATGGGTTAGCTTAGTTCGTGAGAACAGTGCTGTTAAAATTTTAAAGAGCACATGAATGCCCTAGGGCTTATATAAAGATGCAATTTCTGATTTATTAGGTCAAGGAATGGAGCCTGGAAATGTACATTTCCTTCAGTCTGCCAGGTGATGATCATGCTGCTCGTCTGATTACCACTCTCATAGTAACAAGTCTTGAGTCTGGCTGGATATTCTGGGGAAGCATATATTTCAAAAATGTCAATAAATATAACTTCTCAATTGTGTAGTTCAATGTGACTTAATTTTGCACCATCATTGAAATTAATATATTAAAATTGAAAATTATTGACCAAAAATAAAAGAATTTGTCTAGCCATGCCACACTCATTTTTCTCATTCATTATTTACTTAGGTCTTTGATAAATATTCTGTGATATCAAGTTAAATCTCTTCCTTTGCCAGAAGATTGACATGGCATCATCTGGTTAACATGTAAAATGTCTAGGTGATACTTACGCTTTCATGGAAAGGGTCCTGCAGAAGCAGACAGACCACATGGCTTGTATTTCCAGTTTTGCCTGCTAGCTCTGGGACCTTGAGCTCTACATTTATAAAATGGAGCAAATTCTTTCTTTGTAGAATAATTGCAGATATTTATTTCGTTACAGGTGAGAAAGCCTGTAGTCTATTACCCATAATGAGTGTTCAGTAAATGCTAAAGGAATGTAACTAAATAGTTTCAGAGTTTCCAGGCTTTGTGTAGAACAAGTCAGAGAGGAAAGGGGTGGAGGATAAAAGTATGTCCTATAACTTTATCACTAAGCTTTAAGTTGTGATTTTATTTTATTCATTGTATTGTTTTTGAGACAGTCTGACTTTGTTGCCCCAGGCTACAGTACACAGCTCACAGCTACCTCAAACTCCTGTGCTCAAAGCCATCCTCCTGCCTCAGCCTCCTGTGTAGCTGGGACTACAGGTGCCCTTCATGGGGACAGATAGTTTTTCTATTTTTAGTAGAGCTGGGGGGGTCTCACTTTTGATCAGGCTGGTTTCAAACTCCTGATCTCAAGAGATCCATCCACCTCAGCATCCCAGAGTGCTAGGATTACTGGAGTGAGCCAATGCACCTGTGCTTAATTTGTGATTTTTTTTTTTTTAGTTCAAACTTTTTTCTACTGAAAGTCTGATATTTTGTTTAATTTTGTTAAGTGCTAATTGCTGCCTTCTGGGAGCAATTCTGTTTCCTTTTCTTCTATCTGCTGTAACATGGAAGATAGGAAATAGGTCAAAGGTTAGCAGTGTTGACCATTTCTCATGTTTCCCTTCCTTTGCAGGTTACTCCATTGCTGTTCAGAAATTTTCCCAGACGCTGCAGTCATTTCAGTTTGATTTCATTGGAGACACACTGACTGATGATGAGATTAACATTGGTAAGTCTATATGTGCCCATGTGCACGTTGAGGCATGCCTGAGACCATATAGTCTTTTTGTTTGTGGGTACAGAGCATTGGCACAGCTCTTATGGTTCAGTGCCAAGCCTCTGGAAGGCTGTCCAGGAAGCCTCGTCTGTTCCATGCCCCCCTCACACAAGAGCAATAAAAAGAGCTGGGTGTTGTGGTGGATGCCTGTAGTCCCAGTTACTCGGGAGGCTGAGGCAAGAGTATCACCTACGCCCAGGAGTTGGAGGTTGCTGTGAGCTGTGATGTCACAGCACTCTACCGAGGGCCACATAGTGAGACTCTATCTC